GGCGGCGGCGGACAGCATTCATTGTGAGGCTCAACGCGGTGCTCCGGTTCGAGTCTGTCATTCATGAGTTTGACCCGTACTTCAACTTCCGGACGACCAAGTACCTGGTGGAGAACGGGTTCTACGAGTTCCACAACTGGTTCGACGACCGGGCGTGGTACCCGCTGGGGCGGATCATTGGCGGAACGATCTATCCGGGGCTGATGGTGACTGCTGCAGCGATGTACAACGCGCTGCATGCGCTCCACTTTACGATCGACATCCGCAACGTGTGCGTGTTTACGGCGCCGCTCTTTGCGTCGTTTACCACGCTTGTGACGTACTTTATGGGTCGCGAGGTCAAGTCTGAGGGCGCCGGCATGCTTGCTGCCGGGCTCATTGCCATTGTGCCGGGCTACATCTCGCGGTCTGTGGCCGGGTCGTACGATAACGAGGCTGTGGCGATTTTCGCGCTCCTCCTCACGTACACGCTCTGGATCCGCGCGGTGAACACCGGGTCACTTTCATGGGCGGGAGCGTGCGCGCTGGCGTACTTTTACATGGTCTCTGCGTGGGGTGGGTACGTGTTCATCATCAACCTCATTCCGCTCTACACGCTGGTGATGGTGGTCTCGGGCCGGTTCTCGCACCGGTTGTACGTGGCTTACTCATCGTTCTACATGCTCGGCACACTGCTCTCGATGCAGATTGCGTTTGTGGGCTTCCAGCCAGTGCAGAGCTCTGAGCACATGGCGGCGGCAGGCATGTTTGTCTTCCTCCAGGCGTACGTTGGCGTGGCATGGCTGCGGTCGCTCCTTGCACCCGAGTCGTTTGACGCGCTCCTCCGGCTGTTGCTGGTCTCGATCGGGAGCGTGGGCGCGCTCGGGGTGGGCGCTGCGCTGGCGACCGGGTACATCTCGCCGTTTACTGGGCGGTTCTACGTCATGCTCGACCCGACGTACGCGTCGAAGCACATTCCGATCATTGCCTCTGTCTCTGAGCACCAGCCGACCACGTGGGCCTCGTACTTTTCGACCTCCACTTTCTCACGTACCTCATCCCGGTGGGCATGTTCTACTCGTTCCGCAAGCTCAACGATGGCAACGTGTTTGTCATCATCTACGCCATTGCCGCGGTGTACTTTTCGGGCGTCATGGTCCGTCTCATGCTCATTCTCGCCCCGGTCGCGTGCGTCATCTCGGCGCTTGGCCTCTCAACGATCCTAGACATCCACCTCGGCGAGCTGCTCAGCGCGGCGGGGCCGATTCGGGCAGCAGCAAGGGCGGAAGCTCGCGGAAGAGCTCGAGCAAGAAGGGCAAGGGCGCTGGTCAGCCCGAGTACGTCCGCGAGGTGGCGGCGGTGATGGTGGCCGGAGTCATGGTCTTCCTTGTTCTGTACACGTACCACTGCTCGTGGGTGACGGCCGAGGCCTACTCGTCACCGTCGATTGTGCTTGCGGCCGGCCAGCGCGACGGCTCGCGCATCATCTTTGACGACTTCCGTGAGGCGTACTGGTGGCTTCGCCACAACACGCCCGAAGACGCACGGGTCATGTCGTGGTGGGACTATGGGTACCAGATCTCGGCCATGGCCAACCGAACCATCATTGTGGACAACAACACATGGAACAACACCCACATCTCGCAGGTCGGCCGCGCCATGGCGTCGCCCGAGGAGGACGCGTACCTCATCATGAAGCGGCTCGACGTCAACTATGTGCTCGTCATCTTTGGCGGTCTCACCGGCTACTCGTCCGACGACATCAACAAGTTCCTGTGGATGGTTCGCATCGGCAACTCGACGACCTCGGACGTGCTCCCCGACTCGCGCATCATCGAGTCCGAGTACTTTAGCCCCAAGGGCGAGTTCAAGATTGACTCGTCCGGCTCGCCGCGTATGCTCAACTGCCTCATGTACAAGCTCTGCTACTACCGCTTTGGAGAGGTCTACACCGACGGCGGCCAGCCGGCCGGCTACGACCGCGTCCGTCAGGTCGAGATCGGCAACAAGGACATCGAGCTCGACTACATGGAGGAGGCCTACACCACCGAGCACTGGCTTGTGCGCATCTACAAGGTCAAGGATCCCGAGCTCTTTGCCTAATCCCAGTCACCAGCCAGCTCTGGTCTACTGTACTTCACCTTTGCAGGGGCGGTGGTAAAGCGAACTCCCAAATGAGAGGTAGGAGTGGGAGTGTGCGTAGCCGGCGACGTCCGTCACTTGTCGCTGCATGCTCCGACTGACTGTCATTGGCCTCGGACAGCGACACGCAATCGCCACAGCAATCACCACCACAACCGCAGTTGGACTGACGCACGCTCCCAGAATGGCATCATCTACCGCTGCGTCAACAACCGAGCAGCCTATCGATATGGTATGCCCTCCTCCTTCCCCCCCCCCTCACCCCCTCCCCCCTACCCTCCGCCTCCCCCTTTCTCGTCTCCCGCTGCTACTGGAGCTGCCATCCTGGCTTCGACTCGGCTTCTCCCTCGTAGTCCGGGGTCCTGCCCCCCCCCCCACCCCCTACCCTCCCACCCCCACCCCGCCCAACCTTTTCCCCCTTCCCCTTCCTCAACTCACAGTACCAACTACTCGCACAGGAGACTGGAGCTGGCCCGTCTACTTCCGAGGCTGGTGCGGGCGGGACGACGATCGAGGAGGGCAGTGCCAAGATCCACTTTCCCGAGGGCAACCAGGTGTTCTACAACAAGGTCCAGGTCTTCAACCGCGACCTCTCGACGGCGATCATTTCGCAGTTTGCGGCGGAGCGGGCTGAGGAGCAGGCGGAGCGGCACGCGCGGAGGCTGGCCAAGTACAACGAGAAGATCGCGGCGGGGAGGACGGGTTCGAGCCGACGGCACCGCGCGGGCTCCGGATCATGGAGGCGCTCTCAGCGACCGGGCTGCGGTCGATCCGGTACTACAACGAAATCACGCCGCAGGTGGACCAGGTAGTGGCCAACGACCTCAAGCCGGAGGCTGCCGAGGCCATCCGGATCAACGTGGTCCGCAACGGGCTGGACCCGGAGAGCCAGGTCATTCCGTCATGCGGCGACGCCAACATTGTGATGATGCAGGCTGCGGCGGCCGGTGAGCACTACGACGTTGTCGACCTGGATCCGTACGGCTCTGCGGCGCCGTTCCTCAACGCGACGATGATGTCTGTGGCCGACGGCGGCTTGCTCGCGGTTACCTGCACCGACATGGCGGTCCTGGCCGGAGCGCGGCCGGAGACGTGCTTTTCCAAGTACGGCTCGATGCCGCTGCACAAGCGGTTCTGCCACGAGGGTGGCGTGCGGATCTTGCTGGCGAGCCTCGAGCGTGCGGCTTCGCTGCACAAAAAGTACATCGAACCGCTACTCTCATGCTCGATCGACTTTTACTCGCGGGTCTTTGTCCGCGTCCACACGTCGGCGGCCGAGTCGAAGCGGTCTGCGCTGCGGCTGAGCCAGCTGTACGCGTGCGGCGGATGCGCGGCGTTCCACTGGCAGCCGCTCGGGCGCGAGAAGCCGGCCAAGTCTGGCAAGACCACGCACGTCCGCGGCGCGTATGCGCCGACCGTGGGCAGCGAGTGCAGCGAGTGCGGCGGGCGGTTCCAGCTCGGCGGCCCGTACTGGGCCGGCGAGCTCCACTCGCGGCCATTTGTGCGGCGGGTGCTCGACACGCTCGAGAGCGACCACGAGGCGTACGCGGCCAAGTTTGCCACGCTGCCGCGGATGATGGGCCGGCTGGTGGTGTGTCATGATGAGCTGGAGGGCTCCCCGCTGTACTACGACCTGCCTTCGATGCTCTCGGCTCTCAACCTGACTCCGGTGAAGAAGGATGAGTTCATGGCGGGCCTTGTCTCGCTCGGCTATGAGGTGACCGAGACCCACGCCTCCGTCTCGGGCTTTAAGACCAACGCGCCGGCCGGCGCCGTGTACGACGTCCTCCGGGCGTGGGCGGCCAAGTTTCCGCCGGTCCGTGCACCGGCATCAGTCGAATGGCAGAAGATCATCGCCCGCGAGGTGAACAGCAAGGTCTCGTTCGACACCAGCATCCTGCCCAAGGCCTCGAGCCAGAAGCGGCGGCTGTCCAAGTTCCCGCAGAATCCCGAGGCCTTCTGGGGGCCCAAGATGCGGGCGACCGGCCAGAAGCGCAAGCCCGGCGACGAGTCAGCGACCGGCCTCCTGCCGGCGCAGATGGAGCGCCAGCGGAGTCGCCAGAAGCGCAAGGCCCGCATGTGCCGCAACATGATGGACTCTGGCGCGTGTGGCGACGAAGCCTGCACCCGCGTCCATCCCACTCCGGAACAGCGCGCCGCCATCCGCGACCCGGAACTCTCACGGAAGGAAAAGGGTGCGCTGCTGCGGAGCATTCTGCACAAAAGCGAGGATGATGGCGGTGAGGAGTAATAACAACCGGCGCAAAGCTTGCGAGGAGGGAGCAGGTCTGTGAAGAAGTGTGGTCACACATTGAAGATCAACGAAATGAAAAGATGGCGACAGGTGGCGATGCGTGGATCCCACCCGGACGATGGATTTCTCTGGCGCTGAAGATTGTGGAGACTGTGGTAGTTGTAGTTGATGGCTTGTGTATGTAAAGTATGTATTCGTGTGTGTGTGTGGTGGGGGTGGGGGGGGGGAGGGGGGAGGGGGGGCGGGACGTCGGTTTCGGTTACCGAACA